AGAGCTTGGTCCTCACACACCCGCCCACCAAAATATTTGGGTTTTCTGGCCTCTCACTACCAAACTGGAACGGTGCCGACACAGACGGTGCTCTGACAGTCCCGCTCCCGTCCACAAACGTGGGGAACTGAACTACACCCGCAGGCAGCGGCTTCAGCAGGAGCCCCGCCCTACTCACTCGGCCCGGGGCAGCAGATGGCGGGGTGCAAAAAAGGAAAAAAAAAAAACAAACCCGGAGAAAATAATTGTGTCTCTCACTTTTTCAAATGCAAGAATCTAGGAAGTTTATTAATTCTATATCACAGGTTTGCTATTGCATCTTCTGTTGTGGAAAAAGAGGAAAACAAGGAGATTTAGGACATTTGAGGTTCATTTCTTCCACCAAAAGATAAAAAAAAATAAAATAAAATACTCCATTGCTTGCTATTGTTCCTCGATGAAAACTTCAGGGAGAAAGAAGTCCCTTACAGACCTACTGTTGCAGTGCAGGCTGCAGCTCTGGGTATGACAGAGCCACAAACTGCAGAGGAAGCTTTTAACCTCACAAAGGTTTCTGTCCCCAAAGTGCTTCCCAAAGGAGCTGTGAGTCAGCTTCTGCTTTATGGAGTTAAATAAAAATCCTGAAGGAGACTGAAAACATTTCATAAAAGCAAAGATGATGATGATGAGATGATGATGATTAATAATAGTAGTACCAGTAGTAGCAGTAAAGAATTAAGCAATTACAAGTTATATTCAAGACTCCCAAGTCTCAGTGCTGAATCTATAATCTTTGAGTATAGACCTAATTAATATGATGGAACATGATCATCTCTTTTATAAATCCTGAAATGTTGCTTGTCCTGGATTACCAGCTGGAGTGTATTGTAAGTGAAATGAGTTACGTTTGACATTGGAATGTGATTAGGAGCCCTACACTAAATATCAGCTAAAGTCTGAACCACAAGCTTGTCACAGTACTTTATTACTTTGTTCTTGGACTTCATATACCATATGGTTTTAACACATATTTCCTACTTACCCACCACCAAAGATGTTATTACAAGACATGTTGTGAGTGAGTGCCCTATAAAAGTTAATTTAATAACACTTACTTACTGGTCATTCTAAGTGGCACCTCCAAAGTATCCGAATTGTTAAAAATAGGACACAATGTAGTGAGTAGCTTTATAAGATTTTATTTGGATTGATTTGTTCCCTGGAACATTGCTTTTAGTCTCTACTTTGTATCAATTTTATTGATTCTCACATACTATCCGCTGTATTTTAATTCCCACGCTGGATATGTAAGTAGACTTACAGGGAATATAATTTCCTTTCATAAGAAAACAACAGGTGGGAAGATGGAAAAAAGAAAGAAAGGAAAGCAGTGCCTTTAGAACAATAATTGGTCTGCAGATATTTCACCTTTCACTACCTTTTCAACTAGAAAAAATGGGTAGGAAAACAAACCACAATACTCTGCTATCACAGTGCTCTAGAAACTTTGACTTCCACGTTTTGGTATGTAATCGCCTCCAACTCCTTCCTATTACTACTACGGCTTTGTCAAGCTAATTATCTCAATTTTTAACCACAGCCTTTGACTTGTCACTGTATGATACTGCAGATACACTGCTATTTGTATATATACTAGTTAAATTAGGGCATAAAGATATATGCAACCAAGCTGTAATAAGTGAAATGGAAAATTAAGTCAAAAACTGGTAATTTCTGTAGGCAGTTATAGTAAAGTTGCTAAATAATTAAAATTATAAAAATTCTCAACACAGAAACATTTAGTAGCATGAATTAATTAAAATAAAATTGTCATTGTTTACCAAGAAACCTATAATTTGGGTTACTTTGGCATACTTCATAAAGACTATAATTTACATAAACAACTGTGGGAGGCATCTGATCGTCATCAATTCTATAGCCTTATGTTTAGGGCTTTTCTGAAAGTAAAAAGTAAGTATAATTCCAAATTGTTTTTCTGGATCTCTCTCCATGGTAATTGCTGCCACCAATGATCAGTTCAAACTCTGAATATTTTACATGAAAGCATTCACAATTATATTTAGGTGTTACACATATAGAGATTGAGTTCAAGACACTCTCACCCAATTAAACACTGCAGGGGATGTAATTATTTCTCTGTTTACTATCTGAATTCTAGTCAGTCTGAAGTGCTGAAATGTTCATGGTGCCAAATAAGATTACTCAGCAAGTAGAATAATTTAAAATCTTAGGAAAATTTATCTTAGATTTCTATTTTAGATTTAACCTAATTTCAATGTTCTTCATTAAGTATTGAACTTAAATGCTGTCTTAGTCACTGACTCCTTCTAAATTTAGCTTTACATCCATAGAGGGGGGAAAAAATATGATAAAACATGGGATTCAAGGAGTAAAATGTAAGGAGATGCCAGAGGTGTGCCCTAGCTGGAGAAACAAGAATTAGAATCAGAACAGAAGATGAGAGAAGGTTGAGAGTTCTATACAAGCAATTTTCTCATAGGTGCAGGGTTTCTTTAGATGTTCAGTGTTACATGGTGTGCAATTTTTGAATCTGTGCATTGACTTTATAGAACTTAAACAAGCTTCTTAGATATAAAGAAATCTCTTAGAGATTTGATTTGCCAGATTCCAACGGAGATGAGGATTAGTGTTTGTAATATAGCCCACCACAAAATATTGCTGTTGGTTTCTTCACTTGTTTTCCGAAATTTTTCTTCACGCTCCTAGAGAATAAAGGAAAAGCATAATTATTACCTTTTGGCATCTCTATGTTTCATGGTAACTAGAAAAGCATCCCCCTTCTACATAGTCATGAACAAAAACATTTTTCCATGTGGACAAAAATGAAGGTTTGTACTTATCTGTATGGTAGATATCTTCACAAATCAAAACTGAGCAGCAGGCATGCTGCATCCTGAAGCAGGAAGGCAAATAGAGCTTCCCTTGTTCACAGAAGATGTAGTGTGCTAAACATGTTCCATTAGTACAGATGTTAATCTGTTTAGGTTTACAGTCACTTCCATTTTTGTCAAGAGCCCTTTTGCAGCCAGATTCCTGGTTTTGGTTAATTAATTGATATATTTCAAGCACAGTATATCTGTATGCATATAGAAAAGTGACTGGGTGTAACTGGTTTGAAGAAGGGCAGCTTTATGTCTGTCTTAATGGGGATATATAAATATACACTCAGTCATTTCCTTCCCCACTCAATAAAGTTTGTGCATGTAGGGCAGAGTGGAAACAACAGCTGGCAGCATCACTCACAATGGTACCTGCCACCTGCTCAGCTGCTGTGGCTGAGTTTGACCAAGGAAACTCTACGAGGAAAATCCTGCTTTAAAACACCACCTGCTGCTATAAAATAACACCTGTTGCTACAAGCATGAGTCCACAGTGATTAATTAGTTTCATGTAACCGCTTAAAAGTATTTTGCAAGGTAATGGAGGCTATTTTGGTTAAATATCTATATATTTTTATGATTTAATTAAAAATACTGCTGCAATTGGATAATAAACCTCATAATACTTTATGAATTAATAAGCCTATGTACAATATTTTTAACATTTCCATTAGGGCACATACGTACTCTTTCATAGTCTTGTTCTCTGGTTACGTGATGAATTTGCTCAATTAGATGCTCTAGTCTGACATTAACTTCATTCACTTTGTCTTTGGCTTGAATAGCAGATTCATCCAAAAAATGTTCCCCAACTCTGATATCCAAGTGGATACGCTGCAAACAGAAAAAAATGTCCTCATTACTGTACCTTCTGCTTTTTCAAAATTCCTTAGAATAAAAATGAAACAAATGATAATTTCCTCTTAAGATCATTTCAGGAAAATAGTTTTAATTGCTTATTAAAATCCCTCCTAAAATTAGAATCAGGTGGAAAATTTGAAAGATTTCTTGATTTTATTTTTAAATTAGTTACACAAATATACAATCTTCACTAATGTTAGGGCATTATTTTATGCTAGTATTGATTCAACCACTATTAAAATGTTGCCTTTGTCCAAAATAGTTAAAAAAAAAAAAAGGACTGCTCATTATATTTCACATTTCATCCTAATATTGCATATTTAATAGTACTGTGGGAGGTTTTTTACAAATACAGTTTTAGGTTCCCTCACATAACTGTTTTCTTCATGTTATTTATCCAGGTTGGAAAATGTCCCAATATCCTCTAGGCTGTTGTATGATCTATAGCAAGAATGCCTCAAGCCAGCCAAGCAACAGAACCATAGAAAGAAAAGAATGGAACTTGCAATGTTATGCAACTTATTTTGGCATGAATGAAAAATTCTTCTAAAACTAGTAAGAGAAACTTCTCCTGGAAGCCAATTAGTACCTAAGGGAAAATTAAAAGGTTTTAGCCAAACAAATAATTTTCAAAACCCTAGAAATTAATATTACCATAATAGAAATTAGATCTGCTCAAAGATCAGCCACATGAAGAGCATTCTCAGCTGTCTAGAAGTCACCTAACTGTATAGGTAGAAATCCATCTTACAACCTTGTGGTCCATTAATTTCTTTATTTTTGTTTGAAGGAGCTCAGATAACCATCTGGTTCTTATGAAGAATAGTTAAAGATTTGCCATCACTAAAGAATATTTTTCCTTTTGTGATCTTTATTCCTCCAGATATAATTAAAAAGGACAATATTTTCCTTTTTTGATTTCTGTGTTCTCAAACAACATTATTAAATATTTGTGATATTAATGTTCTTCCCTGCATCCCTTGGCTTTTTTCATAAAGGATGGTCAGAACTCTAGATTGTACATGTATCTTGTAAAATAATGTTAATACACCCCATCTATAGCAGATAAAAATCACCTGCACGTCCTCAGAATCACATTCATGGTGCATAGTTAACTGTGACCAACCAAAGCTTAATCCCCCTTACTCTTTCTAGTTGATAAGCTCCACAATTATTTTTTTTTATGATTGGACCTAATTGTTTTTGCAATGTATATGGCTCGATTTCCATTAATTTCTGTCAATCAGCCTGTGAGAACACCTTGTTATTCCTGTGTAATAATCCTACTCCAGTAGGATTTCTGTGTTATCTACTTGTTTTCAAAGTGCACAGCTAGGATGAGATTTAGCCTACCTTAACACATTTAGAAGATATTTATATTTATCTGGTTATTTAACTATTTTGCTGTGAGCTGAGGAGAAAAAAAGAAACTAAAACCACTCTAGAGAGTTATTATCTCCTGTTTTTGGGAAGCAGCAAATAGATAAAATTTCAAAACAACATTTGTAATTTTTTTTTTTTGCTGCAATCCATAGAGCCACGATATCACCTCTGATGGCTTTTCCCCCGCCAAATCTGCATTAAAACCAACTTTGCTGGTAGTAGACAATAACAAGTATGTTGACATATTCTTCATTTGAATATAATTTTAAAAATTAAAATGTTGCATATTCTTTAGGAATCCAATCTATGTTAGTGAATACATGGAATATCTATATGATGAGTGATTGTGTTAGTCAGTCTTAAATATGTCTTTTTGATCCAAATTAGTTGTTCTTATTGATCAGAACCTTTCATATCCAAAGCACAATACAAACATTAAATCTCTCTGTCCTTAATCTTGCCACTTGAATGCTGACTTCTTAAATATGAGAACAGTCATTTTATCTCTTCATCTGCATAATTCTATGTTTGCTTTCTTTAATCACTAAAAGTGTTGAATTATCTGCTAGAAGTTAGACCAACTTCTAATCCAGTTTGAAATCTCTGCTGTTGGTAAATGATTTATCCTGGTACAAGAATATTTAGGAAATACACCTACCAGTTTACTTCGTGCAGTCACTGCAAATCTCGTGGAGTTAGACTGGAAACATATTATGTGCTCCCCAGAGAAGTGGGATGTAAACGAAAAGGTCCCTTGTGGCCCATACAGTTTTGACAAGAGTACCTGCAATTTAGATTTATACATTTTGTTAGTAATTTGTTGCTACCAATAAAAAAATCAAAAAACAGTACAGTGAATTGGATTTAAAAATGAATCAGTTAAGCTGATATCATTAAATTTATCCAAATTTCAGAACACATTTAGAGAAAACTAAACAATTGTAGCTCACAGTGAACCAGAACACATTTAGAGAAAACTAAACAATTGTAGCTCACAGTGAACATTAAAATGGCACAGAATTTTGCAATATACAAATCTAATGCTCTCTAAAACATTCAAAGTTTGAAAACTGAGACCTTGCCTAGACAGGAAAATAAATTGTCCATTGCTGGAAAAGCTCAGGACCTCATGGCAGCTCAGGCAGCTGCTCTGTGTGAGGGCTACGAGCAGCCTCTTGGTGACCTTGACTTTGGGTTTTGTTTATCATCAGCACTCCTTTCTGCTGCTCAAGTACATTCTGTACCATTTTATTTCATTAGTGAATTTTGGGGGGTTTATTTTTAATTAGACTTGTTTTGTCAGTTGTCATTTATTCATCTTATTGACACTACTTCCCAAATCTGGTAGTAATGCAAAAATTGTCCATACATATAATTATCAAATAGCACCATTTCTTTCTACTTTTATCTTTCAGCATCAAAATGCTGAACTAGCTGGTAGATTAGATTTACTTCTTCCCCAGAAGTGTCTTTTATTTTTAGATAGTGCTGCCTGCCAGTGCCAGAAGTCAAGTCATAAATCCTAAAGAAACATTCATAAGGCATTTTTACCTCACCAGTAGGACTTGTGACAGTCACAAACATTCCCAAACCAGGAGCAGATTCAAGAAAGTCATGTTTATGTATATCCCAGCGTTGTACTTTGTAATTCCCTGAATAAAAAGCATAGATAAATCTGTTAAATAAAACATAGTTTAACATTAAACATCTTCATCACTTTTTCAGGAAAAATACAAATATATATGTGTTTCATGTGTTTATGATTAATATTGCTCAGGGGCACTTCATAACAGAGTGTAATGCAATAAATTTTTACTACACTAGAAAATGTTCTAAAGTACTATAAAAAAGGGTTAATTAACAAGAAAAACTTTCTGATTACTCCTAATTCTCTGGGAAGATTAGCCTCTAGAAGGCACACTGAGACCTCCAAAAGCATAATGTGCTGTACTCCAATTACATTTTATGGATTGTCTTTCACGTATCATATTATTAAAAAAAAAAGAATTCATTTGTATTATTCTTTACAATCCCCTTTAAATCTTACATTTATAGTCTTGTAGATTAATTTAATGTGCTTCTGATATCAGAGGTGAAATGAAACTTTAGTACATCGTGAATTGTCTCTTTTAAGACCAGCATTTATCAAAAAAAGTAACTCTCCCATTCATATGGGGAAAACTGTGTTACAGAAATTCTGACATGAATGAGTACATCAGTCAGAACGTGCAGAAGCACACATGGAAGCAACAGTTCCACAGCTGTAGAATTAAAAAAAAAATATTTTTCTCTGTTTAGTCAGTAAAGCACTCTGAAAACCTGCATTTCTTTGTGTGATGGATACACACAATATTTGAGGACGTTAAACCTAATCCCTGCTGCAGAGAGTTATTTTCAGAATGCCCTTTTCTGGTTTTTTACCATATTCATCAATCACAGAAATTGCTGTTACATTTCCAGTTATCTTTGTTATTGCATGGGTTAGATCATCATAAAACATTGACAGGTACCTACCAACTACCAAGGTGTCACTGGGAATATCTTCAATTATGCATTTCTCTTCTCTTTCTCCAATGTGAAAATACAAAGCGAGTGAAAAAGAAATCCAGAAGTTCATAAGAAATCCTATTAATTTGCTTTTCATGTTTATTATATATCCCTGCTGTACTGCTTTTGAAGATAAATAGCTACATACAAATGCCTGTAGTCCTGTGGTTGCTCCTTGTTTGCTGCTTATCAGAGTATTTTTGAGAGAGAAAAAAAACTGTGAGAAAAGGCAGCTGGTGGTTACACATTTATAAATAACTACAGCATGTTCTGGGGAATGAGATAACGTGGAAAAGACACCTTTTAAAATCTTTCTTCTTTCCCAGCATCTAGATTAAAATTTATTTTATACTCTTAGAAGAGCATGAAACTGAAAGGGCCTCTCAGGTGCTCGAGATCAGTTCCCTAGATTATGTAGGCAACTACATTGGCTACCTTTTTCCATAAACTGTTCAATTTTCAACTTAAATGAAATTATTATTTCCCATTTATTCTAGGTGATTATTCCAAAGCTTCACTCCTCTTTTATTAAGCAAACTTTTAATTGCCATCCTAAATCATTGTACAAATATAGGCATCTGTATAAAACCCATAAAATAACTATACATAAAAGAACTATAGAAGAAAAGAACTCAAAAAGAACTTGAATAATCAAATAATCTGTTAAATTAACAAATAACATTAGTGAATATGATATTGCAAGGAAAAATAACAACATTAACACTTTCAGAATAAGAATTTTTTTATACAGGAATGACTATTTTTTAGATACTTCCTAATACATTCTCTGAAGAAAGTAATAGTGTAAATCAAACAGGGATTGAGGTTCTTATTTTTATTCTTTGTAGTCATATTGGCCAATGTGTATGTCTGATGACAAACTCATTTATCACTCAAATGTTCCTTGTCCTGTAAATAGAGATCACTCTGAAATGGTCATTTTCCAGCAGGGAGGACCCACCTGTGGCATCATTTCCAGTCAGGAGGACCCATCTTTCCTCATAAAATTTATGTTATCCCAATTGCACAAGAACACATATTTTTCTTGTAACAAGGAAAAAGGGTGGACAGCCCTTCATCTTCAATATCTGTTACCTAAATAAAAATTTGGGGATGTTAACTCCTACTGGATTACTTCATGTCTGCAAAAGTAGGACTGATTTGTGGTTATTGCCCTTCACTGCCCCTGCCATCTATGAAGCTGTCTCAATAAAGGAGTGTCTGTGTAACACTGGCACATTTTGGACCATCCTGTTCAGTCCATTTCACAGCATAAAGTATCTTCATGGAAGCTGCAGCACAAGTATTAGTTCACCTCCAAAAATCACCCATCAGCATCCCCATATTAAGAGGCTGTCATACAAGGAGAGCTGGTTCCTTTATTATTACATTATTTCTTTGACTCCATACAGTTAAGTATAAAGGGATAAAAATTGTATCTCATGGCTATCGAATTTTTATAATGTCAGGGGGGATGTTAGGATTCCTTTACTACTTTAGCACTTACCCATTAGAAATAATTTTAGATTATACAGGATCTCATCATATCATTGGACTTTAGCCTCTCTGACACAGGATATGTTGACTGTCATGCACCTGCATAAATTCTCATGCCATACTCATACCTGCAGGAAACATAGGTGTGTCTGAAGATTGTGATCTACTTGATCTTTTTTAGCTTTTTCTTAACACTTGTGGCTTGCAAAATTCTGAGTTCCAGTGGTAGAACACAAGATATACAAGGTGACACCAATTTATCCTTCATTCTGCTCAGACCCACTGGAACAGACACATTCCTTCTGTACTTTTGCCTAGCAAATGCTGGCATAGTGGGGCTGCTGGACTTCAAGCAAACAAAAATAATTCAATCTCCAGGTAATCAGGTTGTCATGCAGAATACTGAGAGCTTTCTTTTATCTTAGGCATTCGGAGTTCCTGTAAATTGTCATGGACACAACTTCTGCATACTGCAAAAATCCCACTGAACAAGATCTGGCTAACATCAGAATTGCTGTATCAAGTGTTAGAGTTATGTCTTGAGAGTGTGAAATATTGTCATGGAATAGTTTGAGTTACTTTATTATGTTGGATCATTCATGATAGGTCAGATATTCTCCATGTACTTCAATTACCTGGGACTGGGAATATAATGAAATGAAGCATTTTATCTTGAATAGCATCAGATACTCTCAGATCATTTGTTTGCACACTTATTTCATTATAGGAATTTAATTTGGTGTTGATTATTTTTGTAGGACCACAGATTAATTCTGCGGGGAGTTTTTGTTGCTATGCCTTACCATTAACCACATCTTCCATTCTGCAAGAATATCTGCCATCAAAGCTGATTCTTTCTATAAAATATTCTTTCTATTCTATAAAATATTCTTGAAAATAATTGTCTTTACAAATCCATTTCAAGCTTCTTTCCAAAGTACTTTCTGAGATTAGCTTAACCCAGAAATTAATTTTCCTGTTTCCTTCCCTAAATCTCCTGTATTTAGGACCTCAGCATCTTGGCTGCCAACCATCTGTAACATGACATATAAGGGAAAAGGAAGGAAGAACTTCTCTGTGTTTCTTTCTGGTCCCAAATTTTTTAAGGGAATTCCGAGTTTGCTGAAGCTACAATGTCCCAACAATAGCCATGCAGGGATCATGTACCTCACTAATCCCTTTAATAGATAAATACTATGAGAAATGTGCTCCATCACTGGAATGTGTTTCATTCACTGTATCCACAGTCTTGCCAAGTAATGGCTCCATCCCTGTGGTTTGCAAAGGGAATACCTGGAATTATATTTTTGGCTATGCAATACACAGCCACAGGGGCATCCTTAAAGAATATATTTACCAAGGTCTCCTGAAGTTACTGCTTACAAAAAACCCCATATCCAGGTAACTGGCCATATAGGAAACTTCTGCTTTTGAAGGAAGCTGCAGTGAATATTCATGTATGTAAACACCCTAAAATAACAAAGTTTTGTATCACTGACTGGAGATTTCTGAGGTGTGCTGGTCTGTTGCACATTCTCTTTCTACTCTGCGTCCTTATCTTTTCTTCTTCAGTGTCCTTTGGAAAACTTTTGTCTCCAGGAGTCTGAGCAAACTTTGCTCAGATTATATTCTGTAGGACTGAAATCCCAGTTTCAGGTCATGTATGTTATTGAAAATCCAGGTATTCTTTTACTGGGCCTGGATCTTTATTTATTCTGGGCATGTGAAGAAGCAAAACTGTAGTGTTTAGAGAGCTTCCAGGAAAGTACCTCAAATGATATCTTGTGGATTTTGAGTTTGTTTTTCCTAAGGCATAATTTAGAATTGCATCTGATATCTGACCAAAAACTTTATTGAGCTTAATTTGTCTCTTGACAATCAATTTGAAATAAGCTCCTACCCTCTGAGAATATTTAAATAGATACTACAATATATGCTTATGTTTTCTGATTTGATAGTAAATGTGTAAACATGTAGTAAATAAGTGTAACAGAAAACACAGAATGGTTAAAACTAATATAAGAAGAAGAAAGATAAATATTGATGATTACCTAAATATAGAATAGTGTACTGACACTATTCCCATTATAGAGTGGAAATAGAGGGAGCTTAAAAAATAGGTAGATAACAGGAGTAAGTGAAATAATTTTGAACAACAGACAACAGTGGGAATCTAAAGAATGAGAGAAGAGCAGAAACTTCTACACTTAGTTCTAACAGCTGTGTATTTATCAGTATTTGCAGGACCAGTGAAGTCTAGTCTGATAAAGTTTCAGATTTATTTGTGTCTTTGCAAGATATCTTCCTTGGAAAAAAAATACAGAGAAATGTTAAATGTTTCAGGCCTATGGGGAATACAGTGTGCTCCTTTAAGGACAAGAGAAATTATCTTGTATGTGGTATATTCCAGAACAAACCTACTCAAATCAACTCCCCTGTTCAATATCTGTGCTGTATATTTAAAACTGCAGTATGCTATAAAAGTTTTGTGAGCTGGCTTTAAATTTATTCTATTGAATAAGTATTATTCCAAAATTCTTTTCCTAGCTGGTAGCCACATTTTTTCATAAGCCATATGTTACATACATTTTATAAGTTATTTGAGCATTAAAACTTGCAGTCAGGAACAGTTTCTGACATGTTTTGTTAGAGTTGTGCATACCTTAATTTTAGGTAATATATACACAAATAGCAGCAAACACATATAAAGAAACGTGGACACATTTACTGCATATATAAGGTTAATGATATAATTTATGTTATGGCCAACAGCGTTAAATTTGAGATTAAAGTTGTCTCATGAGGGACACACACCAATAGTCAGTTTTTGAATCTCAGCTAACACTCTTAATTCACCTTAAATGTTTCCTACACTTCTGATTTTTTTTTCTAGTAATTTTGTTGGCTGAGTGTTCTCATGGCAGTTATTCTTCTCACTTTTGAGAAAGAAAACAACATTTTCATACATCCAAAAGTCTCAAGAAAAGTTTACTCAGTTCCATTATTGTCTTAACCACACTGCAAACATCTGGTCACTCTGACTTTTGTAAATAGTTTCTGAAGAAATGTACATTAAGCAAGGTTAGAAAGACAACAAAATTGCCAATAAATTATAAAAAACATAATTTAGAGGAAAAAAAGTCACTAGAGGGTACTCCAAGAACTTACAGTGTATTTGGAGGAAGGGTTTATTTGGGGGTTTTTGGTCTGTAATTTATCCAGTACTGTTGGCATTCTAAACCTTAGAAATTTAACCCCCCAAAATCTTGATATTAAATAAAAACTTTCAAAACCACTCTAATACAGCTTTTCAGCAAAATAGTGCAGCGTATCCAAATTATAAAGAACATTGATTGACTTGTAGTTTAGATTTAATTTTATCCTACTTTTAAATTATCTTAATTATCATCTTTCCTTTATTTCAGACACAATTTTCTGGTTCACATCCTGTTTCTTCATCCAGGTTGGGACAAGGCATTCCATTATTGGCAGGCTGAAGAAGTACGAAACGAGTTCTGACCTTGGTCCCTGTTTCTCTGCAAGCCCCTCTGCAGAGGCCCCAGGAAGACCATTGTGAAACCTCACAGTCCAGGGGTGTTTCTGCAATACACACAGCAAAGAGGTAACTTTATATCAAGATGTACTTAAGTCAAATACACAGTTGGAAAAGCATTAAGGAATCATCATCAAACAGCATCCTTTCTTATACAAAGTACGTGTGATATTAATGAAATCAGCATGTTGTCTCATAAATTTAAAAAAATGTCTGGTTTCAGGTCCTAAACTCATTGGTATTGTTATTGCAGTCTAGAGCCTATCTAAGGTACTATATCAGGACTGAAGCATATTATGTCTTGAATGAAAATAAAGAATTCTTTAAATAAAACTATGCTTAAAATTACTGTACTCAAAAGATTGAATTAAAAAATGTTTACTGTCAACTTTTATAACTAATTTTCCTTTGCATGGCTTACTAAAATAATGGGATTAAAACTTTTCTCTGGTTTATTTTGGTATATTTGTATTTCTTTGCAGGCAGCTATTGTTCCTAGAGTTGTTCATATCAAATTCCATTTTATTTTTGTTCTATTTACTTCAGACATAAAATCCCATTTTTTATCCTTAAATCATGCTATTTTTTTGGTGTGTACACTTTGCCAATAAGGATATTCTGTCACTAGAAGTTTTCTAATGCTGGAAAGATTTTCAATATAGTTTTAATTTGGTGCAAGAAAAGAAGTTAGAAATTTGGAAGTACTATCCATAAATGTATGCTTCTATCTAAAATAAAAATCATAAAAAATATGTGAATATTTCTTAGCAGGTTAAATTAAAATACTAGTTGTCACAGGAAGTTGCATCAAAACTGCCTGTTACAGCATTTGTGGGTAAAACAGTTGTGCCCAAGCCCATCTTTAAATGCCACACTCCATGTGTGACTCCTGGTATAAATTTCTGGTATTACAGTGAACTCACCACTTCTGTTCTCGTCACTTACTCCTGTGTTTCTAGAGGGAATGAGGGATACTGCTTGACCTCTGATAATTAAATCTTCCCTTTTGATTCTGAAGTAAGTTTTTAAACAGACTGATTTAATGGTTCATATACAATAAAGTGGGAATTTGTGATTAAAAATGGGTTTTGAAATACCATACTTTAAATGCAGTTTTAAATTTATATCATGAACAGGGCCAAATGTTCCTTTCAAATCTTATGAAAAAGGCATATATCTGTAAATGAGATGTGTACACTCACTTTGAATATGTCTTATTTACTAATAGAAATACATGAATCCACTTTAAATTGATAAATACATTTATTAAATTATAAATAACACATTAACTGTGTAGAGAATGAGCTGTATTTTAGTGGTTGTAAGGTGACCAGCACAGTGCAAGAGACATGCAATCTCCAGACATTCTGGAGAAGTTCCTGGAATATGGCAACTCTTTTAGGAGTACATTGCTCCCTTGGAGCAAATATTGTGTTAATTCTATATTTGTTAATTCCAAGTTTTTAAAATCATCCTTATGATTGGCTTGAGTCAGTAGTTTGCATGTCTTCCTACCTACTCAAGATTATTAGCTAATATTTTTGAGAAAATGAAAATGGGAATTTTAATTTTGTTATCAGGATTTATGTTTCTATTGGAAATACATCCAAATCAGTTGAATTATATAAACTTTTATTGCACATAGCTGCCAAACTCTGATCCAGAATGAGACAACAATAATGGTTCTTGGCTTCATTGTCATGTAAAACCTTAAGGATGAATATTTACTTCAAAGTTGCAAAGAACTTGGGAATGCTGATTGAGTGCCATTTGTTTCTTATAAAATTCACTGAGCTACACTGACACAAAGGATTGGTTAGCTCTTACTGTGGATATAGCCCAATCCTTTGAACCACAGCTGAAATATGCAATCCCTCACTTATTCTTTCAGGAATTCTCTTTTATGTTGACTGGCTTGTTTTATTTCCCATTTGTGAGCCAACAACTACTCCTATGCAGACAGGAGAATATTCTGCCTGATCACCTGTTTCATCCACATCACCTGCCAGATTTCCACATGCTTCGGAGTGAATGGAAATACCAGAACTGAGAACATCTATTAATCACTTACCTGAGACAGTGTCTATTATTTCATTGCTTTTAGCTGGAAGATTAATAAAAGGTGCAGAAAGACCTGGCTGGCTTTTCTTTATTTTCACCATTGTTACTTGAGCAATAGGTGGCAAAATTTTGAGTTTGGGATAATAAAATGAGTTTGCTGGGTGACTTGGAGAGGAACAAGTGATCTGTGAAATAAAAAGAGGAATATTAAAAGAATAAGAAGGTAGCTGTAAAATCATGTTTATAAATCACGCTAATACTTTTTGACAAATAATTTACATACAGCCAGTTTCTATGAACCTCATAACTATGCTGGTCATCCCAGAATTTTAATGCAGGATATTTGACTGGATACAAGAGTGTGGTAGGAGGTCCTGCCAACACAGTAATGTATGAAATTTTTTGATAGAAAGAACTGGATGTTATTAAATTTTTGATAGAAAGAACTGGATGTTATTAAAAGAACACATACTATTAAACAATAATATTAGGTACGCAATAGGAGCTGTCATATGAATATGAGAGGCCAAATGCTTCTCTCTTCCTTTCCTCATTACTCATTAGCACAGCATTTGTGGCTAGAAAAACTCACCTTGAAGAAAGGATTAAGTGAACACTTACAGTATTCAAAACACTTGAGGTTTCAGCAGTGCTTTCAACTGAAAACTCCTCACAGCAGTATTGACTACTAAGAATTTTCATGGCTAGATTCACGTTTGGTGGTGTCAGGACTTTTGTGAGTATTTCCATTTTCCTGGCACTTTAAGGACTGTTAAATATCATCTTAAATTTTTTCCAGCTTTTCCAGAAAATGTAGAGACAAATTCTCATGAATAATTTACATTTACCTAATAAATTTCAAAGATACAGAAGATAAACTAAAGCAGTAGGTTTATCAGCTGTCAGCACTCTTAAATAGTTAAATCAGTTTCATAATTTTAGAATAATTATCTTTTAAAGGGAAGACTCAAAACATATCAGTATGAAGTGCTAAATGCTAAACTATGTCTATGCACCTACCTCTGTAACTGTGTCCTGTGGAATAGTGGCAAAGTTTGGAGAGGAAAATGTGAATCCACTGTCAGTTCCAGCATCATATGGAAATAGATCTACTGAGACTTCATCCATCCAGTGGTCTCCTTCGCAGAGATTTAGGCTGTCAATACCCACAAACCAGTCAGGGCTTGGAACAATTCGTACAACAAATGAAACCTAATGAAACAAAATGATCCATCAGGATTGCATCACCTGCTTTGGAATGCTTCAGTCCTGCTTTTAGTGATTTTCACTCAAAGTTCTTGAAAAAATGCCATTTTGCTCTTCTACTTTATAGAAGCTGTACAGTGCTCCCTGCAACGTGACAGGCTTTTTAGTGACTCTTTTTCATTATATTGTTCCTACAAGTGGGAACTCAAATATTTAATTTTGGTTGCTGGTAACATAAAATAAACTTTCTAAATGAATATGTACATTTACTTACTAAGGGATGTCTTGGATGCGCTTCTAATTCAGTAGAGGTTTGTCCTGTACCACTGGAAATTGCAGGAGCAGAGAAGATTCCATGTACACTCTGAATTTTCTCTCCAGCTTCTTCTATTTCTTTCATTAATGCCCAGGCTTCACCCTTTTCAGCAAAATCACGTACACCATTGCTGGCATATTCATTTTTTTTCCACATGCTGTAGTCAGAACTATGAGTAACACCTATTTGAGTGAATACATGGCATGATATAAAAGTTTGATTTAGAATGTCCCTATTTCTTCATTTTCTCTGTTTTATTTCTGAGGTTAAAAAAAAAGTGTATAAAATTGAGTGAACACTAAAACATTTGGCGTATCTCTGCTTCTTTCAGCTGCAGCCAATTGAAAACACAAGTAAATTGAAAACAGTCATAGGTTTTTGAAGACATTGTGGATACTTCAATATCTGCATTTCATTCTTAATAAGTTTGGTGCGCTTTTTTTCCCCCCTTTTTCATTGCTTATCTTACATAACTATAAATGAAAAAAAGACCACGGAGGTCAAGAGGCTTATCTGCTCTTGGAACTGTTCATACTTCACTTACCTAGCAAGGATGACCACTGTGCTGGGGGCCTGTAGAGTGGATACTGCTTAGGGAAAGCAATTTGACTCCATTTCCCTGTGAAGATTATCCTGTACTTTGCAAGTTCCTCTGCTGTGCAAAGAGCATCCTCCCCCACAGGCAGGCTGCTGGCATAACCCAGCATTGTTACAAGTACTGTCCAGAGAACTTTACAGGAGCAGTAGACAAACATCAAATTTTCCATTCCCTTCCACACAAAAAGAAAGAAAAAAAAGTGTTAGCTATATTAGTCACTTAAAACTCAAAAGTTACAACAGTTACCTAATAAAATGTAATGTGGCATAAGTTATAACCAAAGAGAAAGCAGATATCTGAAACACTAAAATTTGCTATGCTTCTGAAAAACATTTCTATAATGCTTTCAGATTTGTTATTTCCATGCTATATACTACAAACCTGTAACTTTACCTGGCACAAGTGTTTCTAATGAAAATGAAAATAAAAATATCTTATCCTTGTTCATAGTACTACCTCAGAGAAAAATCTGTTTCTGATTTTCTTTTGAAATCTGATTAGAGTCACATCTTGATTTAATTAGAGTAGCAACTGTTTCTGTGGAAAACATTAGTGGTATATTTATTCTTCTAAAGATTAAATTGCAGGTTACTTTGCCAAAAGAAATGATTTATTTTAAATTTATGTTCTACAAAGGCTGTTTTATAGCATAACATTTAAAGTCAAATAGATTTCATATTTATATAAATTACTTTGCTGTCATAATATGAATTAAAAACACTGTAATTCATTGAGATTGTTTAAACTACACAGTTTTTAAAAATCAGTATTTTTTTAAAGTTACTGTCATAGGTTGTGCAAATTTTGTTTTTAAACTAACATGGTAATTGCATCAGACTGTTAAACCAACTGTTTAAAATAACAGCCTTAAAAACTGATTTTTAAATGTTTTTGTCCTTTGAGAAAACTATACAAACTTAAGTAAATCACTAGTAATATATTAGTTTGCAAAAATAGCTATGAATACTCACTAAATATTCCTCTGGAGCACTGGTAGGGGGAGAGCACCTGCTTTTGCTGGCAGCTGAGTTGGTCTGCAAGAGAAGACAGTAGGAGTCTTGCTATTTATGCCTGAAGAGGGTCCCTTTGGTCCAACAATTATTGCAATCTTTAGACTTTCCAGGTTTGCAAAAATCATGCCATCTTCTTGTTTGCAATCCCTCTGGATAGACTAGCAGAGGTTTCCTGTCTGTCAGCTGGTTCAGATTCCTTATCAGAAGACTGAGATGCCGAAAAGACAAAATGCTTTTTAAAAATACCTTGGATTCTTAGTAACAGTTTGAGTTTTCTGGTGCCTTTACAGTTCTCTGCTCTTATTAATGCCTCCAAGCTATACAAATGAACTGATTCCAACACTGAAATAGTTCTAGTGAATACTCTTTAAATGAGAAACATGTTTTCTTGTAAGTTTTATTGTCTGACAGATGCTCCTTCCAAACATTTACAGAGAGCTTGCTCACTCTCACACACCATATGTATGTGTTCAAATAAAAGGGGTGAGGCAGCTAAAAATGTCAAGAGGAAAAAAAAAGTTGCATTTCATAATTGCACATACTCACACAGACTGTGTCTCCTGCAAATATGAATTAATTTAAAGTAGTACAGTGTATATTTTTGTGCATACAGTACTGTATGCTGGATGATGAAAGGGCTCTGTAACATTGTGGTTGCTTTGGAAAGAGTGGTTTTGGGAAGCTCAGAGATTTTTCTTAGCTGTCTTCAGAGTAAAAAACCCCAAATAAAAATCTCATTATTACAGTTAAATTGTATATCCTCTATGGCATAGTACATATAGCTACATCACTAAAAACATTTAAACTGTTGAAAAAAATAAGCATTATAGAGTGACCCAATTAAAAAATAATGTTTAATCTTTATTTTAATTTGTTTTCCCCACCACCTTTCAAATAAGGGAAAACAAAGGGCATTGTGCCAAACCTGTAAGGTTAACAAATTCTATTGTGGCTAATCAGCAATTCCAAATTTTACAGTGAACCATGAAAATAATATTTCATAGAGTTTTCTTTAGAAATTGTGAGGAATGTCACTTAAGTACTTCCCCAGATCTCTAACATGATGGTGCAGCATATGGGAAAAGACCCAAATAAACCCAGTTATTTTCCAGATGCAGTTCCCAGGGCATCACAGGTTAAGCACACACCACACAGCTTTACTGACACGCTGTTGTCCACCAAACAACATGTCTGAGCTTTGTGGCACTTTAACTGGAAACTTCCCTCCCACCCCGTGGTAACTCCAAGCCAGGAGGTGAATAAACTGGGATGTCTGGATGGAATTTTCATCAATTATTCTGCTGACAAAATGGAATCTATTGCAAGTTTCAACACTGACTGCTACAGCACCTATAGCCACAATTCTTCTCTAGCTGGGTAGATGTGGGAATCCTGTAGCAGGTTAAGGCATGTAGGTGTGGACATGCCCTTTGTTTCCAAGGTCTCTTCCTCCATCCTATGTTAATGGTATGTTCTCCATAATTGATTTCTCTTCCAGGAGCCAGACTCCATGAAGAAGAAGAGCAAAAAGCCTTCATGGGTACTTTTATACAAGTTTTTAAGTGTTTGTTGAAGGATGATACTTGAATTGCATCCAGCTCACTCCCTCCTACCCACAGAATTCTAGATCCACAGGTTTCTTAGAGATTTTAATTTAATGACATCCAGCCCATGCAGCCCACTAGAACTGCAAAAAGGTCCCACAATTTTAAAAGTATATTTCTAATTGTATTCGTAAAACTACTTAAGGCTTGCATATTTATTATTAAATAGCCTTAAACTTCTGTAGGTTTTGTTTTCTGTAATCACAGGTACTGAGCCAGTGAACTTCACATACTGAAACCTACTGTGGCACTGCCAGGACAACATGTAAAATGAGAGCAATGCAACTAGCTCTGGATCTGGCACAGGAATATTTAATTTATCAGAATAGCCTTTTCCTTTCAAAGATAAATTACTGGCAAGAGGCACATCACCAGACTAGATTATTCTGGTTCCATGACTATGTGTTATGAATGTACCCAGGAATGGGACAATACATGCAGGCTGCATAACTTGGCACTGGACCTTTCCCTGTTTACAATGAAGGTTTTACCATGAGAGACTTCTCATGATTAAATTCTTCAGAACCTAGAGCCTCATTCTTATCTTTATTGAATTCATAATGAAATCATTGGGCAAAATACTGTAAATTTATTTAATTATCTTGTCTCCCTACACCCTGCCCCCTAAGGCTGAGTGAAGAGAGATTAAAAAAAAGGAAAACAACCATGCAGAGTAATGTTGTCAGAAAATCCTAACTTGAAGACTCACTGTCTTATTTCTTTAAATAGAAACTGTGCTAAGAATAATTAGTCTCTGCCATTGTGAAGGACATCAAAACGCTAAATATGTCTCGTAGATGGGAAGGAAAAAAAGAACAGAAAAGAAGCAAATTTCCACTCAATGGATTACCTTCATGGCTGGGAACCACAGATGCCAAATTTCTGTGGGCCAACAGTAGGAGAAAAAAAATGCTGTGGGATCAAAATCTATGCTTGCATTCCTTCTTCAGTTTTTATGTCCCATTAGGAAGCTGCTGAGAACTCATGGAAAACTGGAAAAAATGAGTTTCCCTTTAGAAACAAATTTGCTTATGATATAAATGTATTTCTTTTTTCTTTCTCTTTTTCAGCAAAATAGCTTTTGTTCTTCAAGTTTGTGCCTCTTCTGGTACACCTATTTTCTATCCACATATGTACCTTTACAGACTCTGAATGCTAGAGGGATTAGTCATACAAAGATTGTTTTATTTAAGCATCAGTGCCAAAGTGTGCCTTGGGTTAAATTTTGCTTGCAGAAGTGTGCAACTTCTGCTGTTTCTTGTCAATATGACAACAGTTTTACAGTTCCTGCAGTTTTTACCAAGATTCAGAGGATGAAAGCTGAAAAGTATAAAACAAAAATGATACTTTTGTTTTTTAAATGTCAGTCATAACATTGTCTAAAATAGCCTGTATTTTTTCTAACCAAAAATAATTAAAGGAATGAGAAAACAAGAAAAAAAACCTACTTAAAAATACAGCAGTATCATCAATTTCATGATGGTTCTGGAATCATTTATGCTGCACTAAAACATTTAAATGAGCAAGTTCAGCCTATCACACAGGAATATAGCACATTAAAATTGTGTAAATTCCATTTTGGTTAGTCAGGGAATAATCTAGCCCTTTTTCTGGCAAGCAACCAGACTGCCATCATTAGTCATGACTTTTCTATTAAATTGTAAGATTAAGAGAAAGGAAAATTTACCAAAATGATTAATCTGAAGTTAGTTTGCCCAGATTTACTTAAAGAAGAAACTCCAAAAATTTTGTATTTATATTCCTGAGGTATCAACACACATTTAAATTTTGCTAAAACAATTTCCATTCTGCTGATAAGGAGTATATGTGCAACTTTGATATTCTCAGGCTGCCTAACATGCATCTGACTAGCTAGAATCTCTTTGTCTACCAAGAAAAATATAACATTGTATTACTTAAGAAGGATTATACAGCCATACTTTCTCTCCCGTGGTTACCATGGAGACATGTATAATTATGGACACTCAGCAATGCCAAAGGTTTGCATTCAGTCAAAACCCTCTGAGCTCTAAGTTGTAAAATCTCAGAATCAGAGTGGCAAGCAGCACAAGGTTTTATGGTGGAATAATTTTGGTAGTGGTTTGTGAGCTTTTACAAAACAAAGTGTTTACATAGGAGAGTAAAGTATTCTTGATATTGGATGGTGCAACTGTAGTGAAAGCAGCTTTAATCTTTATTAATCTTTTGGGAGAGAAATTTACTTTGCAGATTAAGGTACCTAAAGTAAGTAGAAACATACAAACTGAATTTGTATACTGCCACTATATATAATGGAGGTCTAGCTATTTTAGCTGATAGAATCTATAGAACTGTTCAGCTCACCCTTTAATCCATACCAATATATGACCAAATTAATAACTAATGAGCAGTTCTCTGGTCTCCTCTAACTGTATTGATAAACTCTCCATTGATCCTACCTCCCATGGAACCATCTAAGTAACAGATCCAGGCATCTCTATCTTTACACAGGGTTCACTGAGAATTCAAGCCAAAATAAGGAAAAGGATAAGGAAAAATACCAGCCTTCTTGACCACAATGACACTCATCAATATCAAAAACCTTCTGCATTCTTCTGTCATTTGTATTAAAATGCTTCCTTAGTACTGAAACACCTAATATGTGGCCCAGCCTTAGCTAACCATGAGGTCCCCCATGACAATGACCAGAGGTTATGTTTCTCTTTTATACTCTCTATATATGTGTATGACTATATCAATGTGTATGACTTTTCTCAATAGTCACCTTCAGCAGTAGTTTTGATTTCTCAAGGTATCATATATCACCTAAGAAGTTATCTTCCGCTGTAAGGTCAGAGCCATATCCTCCTGTTACAAAAAAGTTCTTCAGCATAATATGTAAAGTTGGTCATTCTTGGCTCTCACAAATGCTTCCTGATACCCTGACCTCTAAGGTTATCTATCCAATCCATCTGTAGCACAAAACATGAAATCTTGTAATCTCCTTTATGGGTAAAGAGGAGTTATCTTGGCAGAAATGAACTCAGCTGGAAACAAATAATTTAAATCCTCTCTGCCATCTCAGCAGCTAAATCACAAACTGGGAGCCTCTTTCCTATGCTATGGCTAATGCTTGTGATAGGAATGAAGCAGACTCGCAGGGATTGCACAGCCAGGAGCTCCTTTATCATGGACTTCATCATTCAGCCCACTGCACACCTGCCAGCTAGTACTGCCACTGCCTATTTGTGTTTCCACAGGCCTTTGCAGCAGGATATGGAAGAAGGAATTCATGCTACCTTTTTATCCACAAGAACATCACAGATCTGAGGAAACAAAAGCAGCTTTCTTTGACCTGTTCATCAGATATTCTGAGCTGTGGATGAGGGTCAGCTTTCAGAGCACTGTGCTAACCTGTGGCATGCCTGCACCAGCAGCTTTAGCTCCC